CTACGGGTTTGGCTTTTTTAGATTCCACATGTAAGTGACATCATGCAGTATTTGTCTTTCTGTGACTGGCTTATTTCACTTAACCCAGTGTCCTGCAGGTTCATCCAGGTTGTCCCAAATGACAGAATTGCCTTTTTCAAGGCTGAGTAATATTCCATTGTGTATATACACCACATTTTATTTATCCATTCATCTGTCGATTCCACATCTTGGCTATTGTGAATACTGCTGCAAAGAATGAACATATTTTCAAAAACTTAAGGGCCATATGATTTTCTTTTTCTTTTTGTCCAGTTTTCTATTTGGTGGTTTGTCTTTTTACAATAAAGTTTAGAAGCTCTTCAGACTTATTAACCTTTTACCTGTTATGTGCATGACAAATATTTTTTCAAGTCTATTGATTATAGTATCTTTTGCCATACAACCCAAATTAACTTTTATGTAGTTGATTACATTTACATAAACCAAAATGAAGACAAATTTTGGATGTGCACTTATTTGAAAAGGTTGTTATATTATGCTAAGGGATACAGTCATGCCAGTATCAGAAAAAAACATGTACTGTGCATCAAGTTTTATTGAGAAGCAACCATTAGGCCAAGTCANTCAGAAAAAAACATGTACTGTGCATCAAGTTTTATTGAGAAGCAACCATTAGGCCAAGTCACAGAGCAGCTTTCCAGGAGGGTAAGCCATGGGCAAACGAATCAGCCTTCTGATGCTGGTAGTCGTGAAACGCACTGTTGCCATTCTCACAGGTGGGAAAAGATCCCAAATAACCTCTCATAGAAGAGACAAGCAGGTAAAAGGACTCTGCCAGTCAATGCCACACCAGGAAATGGGTGGTGAAGACTGTTGAATGAAGCAGCTGTTTACAAAGGTGAGGGGTAAAGAGATGATGGAGAAACTACTGTCGCCCCATGGGCAGGTTTGTGTCAGGACTCAAATAAGGTCCACAAAGAGCAATTAGTTGATAGGCCTGTTAAGACTCTTTCCATGTATCCATACTCCCCACAGCAAGATGCTGAGCGGCAGTGGTCTCGAAGCCAGACATGATCAAAGCGCATCATGGTGTCAGCATACTGCACTTCTAGGGAAAAGATCACGTTCATCANTACGTGCGGCAGCTCGTGCCTCTTTAACCCACAGATCCCACGTACAGACGCGGCTCACCATTCCTGCAGCTCCGGGGAAGGGATCAGTCCTGCCGACTCCTTGCAGGAGCCTTCCACCCGCCCCTGCCACCAGTTGCTGTCATCCTTGTTGATGATCTGGATGATGTCCCCAGTGACAAACTTCAGTCCCGCCTCCTTGCAAGGGATCAGATTGTCCTTTTTGGGATCATAGTCAAACTGTGCTCTCATGAACATCTGAAAAAGAAGACAAGGAAACCGCAGGCGGCAGCTGCAAGAGAAACTCCAGCATCAGAGCATGTAAGTACAAAGTCCTGCTGGAAATAAATGGAGTTAGGGTTGAATGGACAGCAGGGAGGCAAGAATGGCGATTCTCTAGTCCTGTGGTCACTGTCGTCTGCCTCAAGGAAAGGGGACGGAGCTCTTCTAGTTCACAGAGCACTAGGCACGGTA